GATTTTGGTGTAGGTGATGAATATTGAATATACCAGGGACTGCCAGAGTACGAACAAATCTGTCTTGAAAGAAGTATAGCCAGAACACTCCTAAGAAGCAAGGATGTTGAGACTTCGTCTCACATAGTTTAGGCATATTATCAGGAGGGACCAGTCCTTGGAGAAGAGCATCATGCTTGCTAAAGTAGAGGGTCAGCTAAAAAGAGGAAGACCCTTAATGAGATGAACTGACACAGGGTCTGCAACAACATGCTCAAGCATAACAAAGATTGTGGGAATGGCACAGGACCAGGCAGTGTTTCGTTCTCTTGTACACAGGGTTGCTATGAGCTGGAACCGATTCGACGGCTCCTAACAACAACAACAGCAACAAGCACCTTGGAAGAAAGGCCTGATGATCTACTTCTGAAAAATGAACTATTGAAAACTTTATGGAGACAAATTGAAAATCTAGAGGAAATGGACAAATTTCTAGAAACATACTACCTACCTAAACTAACACAAACTGAGATAGAAAAACTAAATAAACCCATAAGGAAAGAAGAGATTGATGAGGTAATTAAAAAAAACTGCCAACAAAAAAAAGCCCTGGCCCAGATGGCTTCACTGGAGAATTCTACCAAACATTCAGAGAAGAGTTAACATACTAAATACTAAAGGTATTTCAGAGCACAGAAAAGGAAGGAATACTCCCGAACTCATTCTTCGAAGCCAGCATAACCCTGATACCAAAGCCAGGTAAAGACACCAGAAAAAAAGAAAATTATGGACCAATATCCTTCATGAACATAGACACAAAAAATCCTCAACAAAATTCTAACCAACAGAATTCAACAGCCTATCAAAAAAGTAACTCATCATGACCAAGTGGGATTCAAACCCAGTATGCAGGGATGGTTAAACATTACAAAATCAATCAGTGTAATCCATCGCATAAATAAAACAAAAGATAAGAACCATATAATCTTCTCAATTGATACAGAAAAGGCATTTGACAAAGTCCAACACCCATTCCTGATAAAAACTCTCAGCAAAACACGAATAGAAGGGAAATCCCTCGACATAATAAACGGCATTTATACAAAGCCAACAGCCAACATCATTCTAAACAGAGAGAGACTGACAGCATTCCCCTTGAGAACGGGAACCAGACAAGGATGCCCTTTATCACCAGTCTTACTCAACATTGTGCTGGAGGTCCTAGGCAGAACAACAGGGCAAGAAAAAGTAATAAAGGGCATCCAAATTGGTAAGGAAGAAGTAAAAGTATCCCTATTCACAGATGATATGATCTTAAACACAGAAAACCCCAAAGAATCCACAAGAAAACTACTGAAACTAATAGAAGATTTCAGCAAAGATCAGGATACAAGATAAACATACAAAAATCAGTTGTATTCCTCTATACCAACAAGGAGAACTTCAAAAGGAAATCACCAAATCAATACCATTTATGACAGCCCCCAAGAAGATAAGGTACTTAGGAATAAATCTAACCAGAGACATAAAAGATCTATACAAAGAAAACTACAAAACACTACTGCAAGAAACAAAAAGAGACCTACATAAGTGGAAAAACATACCATGCTCATGGATACTAAGACTCAACTTTGTGAAAATGTCAGTTCTACCCAAAGCAATCTACAGATACAATGCAATCCCAATCCAAGTTCCAACGGCATTTTTTAACAAGATGGAGAAACAAATCACCAACTTTATATGGAAAGGGAAGAGGCCTTGGATAAGTAAAGCATTACTCAAGAAGAACAAAGTGGGAGGCCTCACACTACCTGATTTTAGAACCTATTATACCACCACAGTAGTCAAAACAGCCTGGTACTGGTACAACAACAGATACATAGACCAATGGAACAGAATTGAGAACCCAAACGTAAATCCATCCACCTAGAAGCAGCTGATATTTGACAAAGGCCCAAAGTCCATTAAATGGGGAAAAGACAGTCTCTTTAACAAATGGTGCTGGCATAACTGGATATCCATGTGCAAAAAAATGAAACAGGACCCATACCTCACACCACGCACAAAAACTAACTCAAAATGGATCAAAGACCTAAATATAAAATCTAAAACAACAAAGATCATGGAAGAAAAAATAGGGACAATGCTAGGAGCCCTAATACATGGCATAAATAGTATATAAACCATAACTAACAATGCACAAATACCAGAAGAGAAACTAGATAACGGGGAGCTCCTAAAAATCAAAATGTTCATCAAAAGACTTCACCAAAAGAGTAAAAAGAGAACCCACGAACTGGGAAAAAAAATTTGGCTATGACATACCCTATAAGGGTCTAATCTCTAAAATCTACAAGACAGTGCAACACCTCAACAACAAAAAGACAAACAATCCAATTAAAAAATGGGCAAGGATATGAATATGCACTTCACCAAAGAAGACATTCAGGCGGCTAACAGACATATAGGAAATGCTCATGACCATTAGCCATTAGAGAAATGCAAATCAAAACTACAATGAGATACCATCTCACCCCAACAAGGCTAGCATTCATCCAAAAAACACAAAATAATAAATGCTGGAGAGGTTGTGGAGAGATTGGAACACTTATGCACTGCTGGTGGGAATGTAAAATGGTACAACCACTTTGGAAAACAATTTGGCGCTTCCTTAAAAAGCTAGAAATAGAAGTACCATATGATCCAGCAATCTCACTCCTAGGAATATATCCTAGAGAAATAAGAGCCGTCACCCGAATAGATATATGCACATCCATGTTCATTGCAGCATTGTTCACAATAGCAAAAAGATGGAAACAATCTAGGTGCCCATCAACAGACCAATGGATAAACAAATTATGGTACATACACACAAAGGAATTTTGGCAACAATAAAGAACAATGAAGAGTCCACAAAACACCTCATAACATGGGTGAATCAGGTGGGCATTATGCTGAGTGAAATTAGTCAGTCACAAAAGGACAAATATTGTATGAGACCACTATTATAAGAACTCAAGAAAAGGTTTAAACACAGAAAAAAGCATTCTTTGATGGTTATTGGTGGGGGGGGGGTGGAATTTACTAACTAGATAGTAGTCAAGGATCAACTTCAGTGAAGGAAAGGACAACACACAATACGAGGGAAGTCAGCACAACTAGAACCAAAACAAAAGCTAAGAAGTTTCCTGGATACATCCGAACACTTCGAGGGACAGAGTAGCTGGGGCTGGGGCCTGGGAACCATAGTTTCGAGGGACATCTAAATCAACTGGCATAAGAAAGTCTATTAAGAAAATGTTCTGCAACCCACTTTGGTGAGTGGCGTCTGGGGTCTTAAAAGCTAGTGACCAGCCATCTAAGATGCATCAATTGGTCCCAACCCACCCGGAGTAAAGGCGAATGAAGAACACCAAAGACACAAAGAACGTATTAGCCCAAGAGACAGAAAGGGCCACATAAACCAGACTTCATCAGCCTGAGACCAGAAGAACTAGATGGTGCCCAGCTACCACCAATGACTGCCCTGACAGGGAACACAACAGAGAGTCCCTGATGGAGCAGGAGAAAGGTGGGGTGCAGAACTAAAATTCTCGTAAAAAGACCAGACTTAATGGTTTAATTCAGACTGGAGGGACCCCAGAAGACATGACCCCCGGACTCTCTGTCAGCCCAAAACTAAAACCATTCCCGAGGCCAATTCTTCAGACAAAGATTGGACTGGACTGTGGGACATAAAATGATACTTGTGAAGAGTGTGCTTCTTAGCTCAAGTAGATACATGAGACTAAATGGGCAGCTCCTCTCCAGAGGCGAGATGAGAAGGCAGAGAGGATCAGGAGCTGGCTGAATGGACACAGGAAATCCGGGGTGGAAAGGAGAAGTGTGCTGTCACAGTATAGGGGGAGCAACTAGGGTCACATAACAATGTATAAATTTTTGTATGAGAGACTAACTTGAATTGTAAACTTTCACCTAAAGCACAACAATTAAAAAAAAAAAAACGCAAGTCATAACTAGTCAAATGGACACAGGGAATCAGGGGTGGAAAGGGGGAGTGTGCTGTCACATCGTGGGGATTGCAACTAATGTCACATAACAATAAGTGCATAAATTTTGTAAGAGAAATTCACTTGAGCTGTAAACTTTCACCTAAAGCACAATAAAAAATAATAATAAATACAGAGGGTCAAAAAAAAAATTTTATGGAGCACAGTTCTACTCTGACACGCATGGGGTCACCATGAGCCAGAGTCGACTTGATGGCAACTGAGTTTTAAGTTAAGAGCCTGGTGACATTTCTAAAAGAACGGTGCTTTGTATAATGTCTGAACTAGAGGAGGAGGAAACGCGATGATAAACCTAATCGATCCAAACGCAGGCAAAAAAGGACCTGAAAACAGACTGTGGCAGAAGAACTGAAGAACGTGGATGTAAGCTCATCCTTAAAAATCAGCTGTAACGGAAGTGGAGGAATTGAAGAACAATTGGAGAGGCTGTGCGGTCGGGGGCTCGTTTCAAGGAGAGATGCTGCAGCAGGGCTGCCTGCCTAGATACCGACCCAGGAGAAGCGGACACAGCAGATGTGGGGATCCCATCGCTCCTTGGAGGCGCCTGCTAAATACCCCCACGGAGATCGCAGGTTGGCGTTCTTGATCTTATGATATCCGTTCTCTCAGAGTCTTACCCTCGAGCTATTTCAATAACAAAATGGGTTGGAGAAGATGACTAAAACCTCAGTGTTGTTCCAGAACAAAGTATGTTCTGAGCAGAAACGGAAAGCAGGTGACTCCAGGCCTACCCTTTGTGAACACCAACAAGGCCACTTCCCCGCCCCCTGGGCCCCAGCGGAAGCAAAGCAGGAAGCCAGGAGGAACGGGAGGGGGCATGCCATCCTCCGACACTCCCTCGGTCCCTCCCTCACCAGGTCCGCCTCCGACATGCTCCGAGCAGTCTCTGTCAGAGAGCTGCCTGCCCCTCCCACACCTGGCCATCCCCAGAGGTCAAGTGACCAAGCCTACCGAGGAAAGCCACGTTCACAGCCTTGGGCTTTGGGGGACACAGAATGGACACAGCAGTGATGACCCCCAGCGTGCCCTCCGACCCAATGAAGAGCTGCTTCAGGTCGTAGCCCGTGTTGTCCTTCCTAAGGGATGTCAGGCAGTTCAGGACGGTGCCATCAGCAAGCACCTGGCAGGCGAAGAGGAGAAGGCATCTCAGGTCTGATGCTGGGTGTCTGCAGTCCCTCATCCCCCCAGGCACACCCCTGCTCCTCCAGCCCCAGCCCAGCCCCAGGGCACCCTAGGCCACCGACCCCCCAGGTTTTGGTTCAGAAATGCAGCAGGGCTGGCATCACCTACCAGGCTGAAGGAAGGACACTTCGTCCCTGGTTAGAGTAAAGCTCCCCAGCCCCACCCCCACAGCAGAGGAAGGTCCCTGAAACAAGGCAGGCCCTGGGGGAGGGGGCAGAATAGAGAGGGAGAGATCTGCAGTGCCCCCCACCTCTGGACTCCTCGTCCCTCACATAGCAGGCTGCTTTCTTGGTCTGGAGCCTGTCCGAGTCTCACTTGCTGTGTGGAAGACTTACTGATAGAGCTCGTAAGGAGGGACAGGCTTCAGTGACAAGAAGTGCCAGCTGGCCAGAAGACAGGCTATGGGAGCCGGCATGTGTCAGGAGGAGGAACGCAGGCAGCTGTGTCCAGCCCTGGCCACGCCGGCAAAGCAGGCAGAAAGCTCTGCCCTCGAAACCACAAAGCTCCCATCATCACACGTCCACCTGGACAGCGCTCGGTGTCGTTGAGGCCAGGGATGGACACCATGCGTCTGGGAGGCGATTCAGGGACATGGTCACTTGTGACTAACAGAACCCTGTGATTCTCTGTGGACAAGTGTGACCTCGGGCTGACCTTCACACTCTGGTCCCCTAAGACCTGGCAATGTCAGGGGACCTGCGCGGTGACACACCCTGACTGGGTAGACACCAAAGGTGGTGTCACAGCCTCATGGGAGCCAGCGCTGTGACCACCTGCCCTGGGGGGCCGGGAGCCCAGGCTCGGGCCTGTGTCTATAGGGACTGAGAACACCCCCCGGGGACACGGTCCCCCACCCACTGAGGAGACCCCTGAGGTGACTTCAGGTCCTCTCACCCATGCCACCCCCTGGGGCCCAGGAGCCACCCATGGACTGTCCCCTCCCCGGTGCCCAGCGCCCCCTCCCGCGTGCTTTGGCATCAACTGGCGCCAGTTGTCCGGTAGACCCTGTGAGTCTGGCTGTACCGGGGGAGACCCCAGGGAGGGCACTGCCCCGCCTGAGGGCAGACATAATGTTTGCATGAGACCTGCCGAGGGCTCACAGCTGGGAGTCAAATCAGGACTTGTCCCACCCGAGGACCCTGACCACAGCATCAGGCCCACAGCCACCAGGGGAGGCCGGGAGGTCCAGAAAGCACAGGGCTGCCCTTCACGTGGGACACGGGCCAGGGTGAGGGAGGAGCCGGCCTGCCCCACACAGCCCGCGCTGGCCACCGCCCGGCACTCACCACCTCCAGGCCCAGGACCGTCCCGTGCAGGGAGCCGTACCGCAGGACCCGCAGACCACCCGCGTTGGTGGCTACGTTCCCCCCGATGTGGCAGCTGCCCTTGGCGCCCAGGTCCAGAGGCATGACGAAGTCTCGCTCCTCCACGTACTGGCTCAGGTCCTCCAGGATGCACCCAGCCTGGCACACCAGGACCCCTGCAACAGCACCAGAGCCACTGAGGGTGCACACCTCGGGTGCAGACCCAAAGGAGAGTATTCACGAGAGGAGCCAGGCAGGGGACCAGGGGCGCGTCCCACCCTGCTCTCAGAACAAAGCATCTGAACTCACATTTACCTTTAATGATTACAGGGATGAAAGAGAAAAGGATGGTAGGGCAAAAATAGAGAAGAAAAAGCTTTACACACACGTGCTTATGGAAGGGAGAAGAGAGAAACGCTGCTATAGAGCAGTGGTCCTGACCCAGGGCCGATTCTGTCCCCGGGCAACACTGGGTGACGTCAAAGACACTTTTTGGTCTCACTACTGGGGGCACTACTGGCTTCTAGTGGGCAGGGGCCTGGAATGCTGCTCAACACCCTGCAGTGTACAAGGCAGCCCCCACAACAAAGAATCATCCGGCCCCAAATGTCAACAGAGCTGCAGTTGAGAAGCCCTGCTGCAGGGAGAATATGCTGCTTGGACTGGAGGTCCCCGTTTTGCAGTGGTTATTTCTTTATAGCCTGCGCCCCTCCAGAAAGGACTGTGATGGATAAAAATGCTGAATTGGACTCTGGGGTCTTAAAAGCTAGCAAGTGGCCATCTAAGATACATCAACTGGTCTCAACCCACCTGGAGCAAAGGAGAATGAAGAATAACAAAGACACAAGGAAAACATTAGCCCAAGAGACAGAAAGGGCCACATAAACCAGAGACTTCATCAGCCTGAGACCAGAAGAACTAGATGGTGCCCGGCTACCACCAATGACCGCCCTGACAGGGAACACAACAGAGTCCCTGACGGATCAGGAGAAAAGTGGGGTGCAGAGCCCAAATTCTAGTAAAAAGACCAGACTTAATGGTCTGACGAGACTGGAGGAACCCCAGAAGACATGGCCCCCAGACTCTCCGTTAGCCCAGAACTGAAACCATTCCCAAGGCCAACTCTTCAAAGATTAGACTGGAGTACGGGACATAAAATGATACTCATGAAGAGTGTGCCTCTTAGCCCAAGTAGATACATGAGACTAATGAGCAGTTCCTGTCTGGAGGCGAGATGAGAAGGCAGAAAGGGACAGGAGCTGGTTGAATAGACACAGGAAATCTGGGGCGGAAAGGAAGAGTGTGCTGTCACACTACAGGGAGAGCAACTAGGGTCACATAACAACGTGTATATACATTTTTGTATGAGCAACTCACTTGAACCGTAAACTTTCACTTAAAGCACAATAGTAAAAAAAAGAAAATGCCCACATCGGAAGGACCTTGGCCACAAGCTGGTCCATCCCCCTTCGCTCCAAGCCCACAGTATAAATCACCCCAGTGACCAACTACACAATACACGTGCACACACGCACTCACGTGCCCGGCACACACCGTCCAGAGCTGGGCATGTGGCACAGCTGCCAGTTCCTTCCAGATCCAGGCCCCCCAACACCCCACCTGCTCCCCCCACCACCGTCAGCATGTGCAGGCGGGCGCAGGCTTACCAGACACTTTGTGGAAGCCGACGACCTGGTTCATGAGGGAGGTGGAGAGAACGACTTCATCAAAGACAGGGACACTGCCCCCCACCATGCTCGTGTTGCCCCCCTGCGGGGTCACTGCCAGGTTCCTCTCGTGGCAGTACCTGGGGAGCACAGGGGCGTCAGAGCTCACATCCCCCTCACGTGGGGCGTGCGTTCTCAGTGGGCACTGAAGCTGCGGGACCAGCGGAGCACCTCCCTCCCATCCCGCCCGCGATGCCCCTGAGCCCATGCATGTCCGAGAGAGACAGACAGACAGACAGAGACGCAGAGACGGCGAGAGATGACGCCGACATTCTCCCCAGATCTCAGACGAGGCAGCGTGCACGTCGCTGATGCTACCGTTTGAAGAGGCCCATCCTCTAAGTGGAGTCCCTGGGTGGCGCAAACTGTTAAGCGCTCAGCTGCTAACTAAAAGGTTGGAAGTTCGAGTCCACCCAGAGATGCCTCGGAAGGAAGGTCTGGCAATTTGCTTCCAAAAAATCAGCCATTGAAAACCCTGTGGAGCACGGTTATCTCTGACACAAAAATGGGGTCGCTATGGGTCAGAGTCGACTCAAAGGCGATTGGTTTTATCTTCCAAGTACAGACTGGAGGGCAATTAGTTTTCCTAAGTACAGAATTTCTAAGAGGCCAGCTACAGTCTTTTCTGTTATTCTTAACAAGCGTGATGGGGCGAGCGCAGGCCCTGATGGGGTCCCCACTCCTTTCCCCTTCCCCGTCAGCCCCCTTCCCCATTAGTCCCCTCTCCCTGTCAGCCCCCTCCCCTGTTAGCCCCCTCCTCCATCTGCCCCCTCCCTCATCAGTCCCCTCCCCCATCAGTCCCCAGCTGCGTGTTCTCGTCCTTCACCTCGTCCCCGTCCCTTGGACAACGCGTCACGTCATCCCATGGTGCCCATCCCCACAACCAGGCTCTAACTTTGCAAAGACCGAAAGGGAGACGGCCGGACCTGAGAGAATTCAGGGAGCCAGCCCTCTCGAGCCCTGGAAGGCAGTGCTCAATGTGCATCAGATGAACCTCCAGGAACGGACTCTGATAAAACGGGTGAGAGTGTGCCCCCACAGTTACCCACCAAGGTGGTCAGAGAGCGTCATGTGCAATCACATGGTGCCAGAAAGAGCCTCATGGGCACCGCTGGGGGCCTACGATGTGGGTACAATTATTGCTTTAGTATTCTTAGCCATAAAATATGGCTGCACTTATGCTAAGTGCAGCTCCCCACAGGCCTCTGTGTTATCTACGTCAGTCCAAATGACTAAGGCCCGCCACGTCTTGTTTGACTGCCCTGTTTTTCTGAAACTGTCTTGTGATCTGTTTTACTGCTTGCCATATACATAACCAAATTCCTTTCCCCTTACCCAAAACTGATTGTTACCCACCTGAAAACTCACTGTCTCGTGATCTGCTTTATTGCTTGCTGTATCTATTATACATAAACGCCTGGGACCGAGGTGGGGGTCGACTCCTCGGAGCGACCCTCCTGGCCCCACTTCTCTGTAAGAGTTGTGCAGTTGCTCACTGTCTTCGCCGTCCCGATTACGGTCGCCGCTGCGACAGACGGTGCCCCGTGGGAGGAGCTGCGATACTAGGAGATTACGGCGCCCTCCCGGGCGGACTAACTGACGTGCATTACAAGTGCCAGAAAAGAATAACACCAAGAAATGGGCACGCACATTGCTAGATGAGGAGCCCTGGTGGCGCAGTGGTTAAGAGCGCGGCTGCTGAGCAAAAGGTCGGCAGTTCAAAATCCACCAGCCGCTCCTTAGAACCCCTATGGGGCAGTTCTACTCTGTCCTATGGGGTCCCTGTGAGTCGGAATCGACTCGACAGCAATGTGTGTGTGTGTGTATGTTTTTAAAATAATTGTTAAACGAAAAACAACACTACAATATGGCAAAACTATAGAAACTGTGAAAAGACCACTGGTTGCCTGAGGGTCGGGGTGAGGGAGAGCGCCGAACAGGGAGGCACAAGGCAGTTTCTGGGCAGTGAAACTATTCTCCAGGATACCGCACGATGGACACAGGACATTGTCCAAACCCACAGAACTCTAGGACACAAAGAATGAACGCTGATATCAACTGTGGACTCTAGGAAACAAGGAGGTATCAGTGTCTGTTCATCAGTTGTAACAAATGTAACACAAGAACGCAAGACGTTAAGGACAGTAGAAGCCACAGCTTCCTGGGATGAGGGGGGCATATGGGAACTCCCTGTATTTTCTCTACAGTTTTTCTGTAAACCTGAAACTGGTCTAAAAAATAACATCCATTAAAATAAATAAAATAAAATACAGATAAGGTCTATTAAAAAGAAAACAGACCACAGCGTAGGAGATACAGTGATGACATTTAAACAACACACACTCAGAAAAAATACGAAGATAACCCAAACCCACAAGCCCTCAGTGGTTCTCTTTGGTGTGAGACCACAGGTTACCTTTACATTTTTTCTTTATGGTTTTCTATGGTTTCAAAAGGAGCCCTGGTGGCTCAGTAGTTAAGCATTTGGCTGCTAACCGAAAGGTTGGTGGTTCAAACCCACCCAGCAGCTCCACGGGAGAGAAGACCTGGTGATCCGCTCCTGTAAAGATTACAGCCTAGGAAACCCTATGGAGCAGTTCTACTCTGTCACATGGGATGGCTATGAGTCAGAATCAACTCGATGGCACCCAACAACAACGAGTGGTTTTCAAATTATCTACAATAAACATTGACCTCTTAAAGAAAACGTCCATTTTTTTCACTGAAAGTCTGCTTGGAGTCACTTTCAGGCTGGGAGGGGTAGGACTGGAGCCACACCCCTGGAGATGGGGCGCAGTGTTCAGGACGGCCTCAGGGGAGCAGCTGCACTGGAACACCCTGCCTTTTTGTCACCACCGCCCCACTGTGTCCACCCACACGGCTGGGACACAGGAAGCCTCGAAGCCAAGGCCACGGGACCACCCACGAGGGCAAGGTGCAGTGGGCTGGGAGCCCCCTCCTCCCCCCCCACCCAGTTACCTGAGTATCTGCGACACCTCCTCCGTTGTCCGGGGCTTCAGCAGCACCTTGCTGCAGCCTGTGACAGAAAGGCCAGTCGTGGGCACGTTGACAACACAGAGGAGACAAGCCCAGCACCCTGACTCCTCGCCGGCCTGCCCGCCCTTGCCCAGACGGAAGCGCCCGCTCCAGAGGAAGGCAGGAATGTCACCAAAAGTGTGGCAAGCACCAACCCCACAAAGTGACACAGTACAGGAAGGGCAAGGGTTCCCTGTATGCCCAGGGAAAGCAGCATCATGGTAGGAAGCAGGGGGATTGGTGGGCAGACTGAGCTGACTTTCCGGAAGAAGGTTCAAGACTACAAAGAGGACTGTGCGGAGGCTTGAACGCGTTGAACCCAACTGCAGGTCTGAGAGAACACTGGCTGTTAGGAGCTTCTGAACTGACGGGCTGAGAAGAGAAAGGGCCAAGTGACCCACTGCTATGCTTCGTCTTTTGTTGTATTATAAAGACAGTAAAATCTTGAGGTTATGTTTTAAAAAAAAAAGGGCTTTCATCCCAGGACAAATGATCAATAAACGGATGAAGGGCCAGGCACTGTGCAGGCACATATTCCAGTCTGGCCAAGATACCGTCCGCTCAGGTGCTCTGGTTACAGCGCAACGCTGACACTCTTCCCCACCAGAGGCGGGGAAGGTCTTAACCAACAGAATACAGCGGGAAGGGCAGAACAACCGTACAGCCATTACCGCACTCTGGAAGAATCATTCCTGAAGTGGTCAGCCATGTAAGCAGTCCAACTGCCCGAGGCTGCCGTACGGTGGGGAAGCTGACCACCTCCAGGAGACGGGCAGGGGAGGGCTGGAGTCATGGACAGCCAGTCCAAACCACACCTATAGCTTCCCCTGCCTTGGGGCAACAGCTGGTTGGTCCTGGGTGTCAGCCGCACGGCGGGCAGGTGGGGAGGACAGAATCTAAACCTTGAGCCCCGGGTACCCCAAGCTGTCACTGCGTTTCACCCACACAGCATCCCTCAGTGGTAGGGGCTGTGGTCCCCACTGTGGGCTGGGGGCACTGTGGTCCTTCTGCCTACAGTCACCCGGCAACAGTGGCCGAGCCAGGACTGAGACCCAGCGAGGCTGACCCAGGTGGACACCCCGTCCCTGCTCTCGGCCTCCAGTCTTGTGCATGCAACACCACAAAGGCCAGTGCGAGAGTGGCGGGCTCTCCATGGGGCATCACTTAGGGGGCAGGTTGGGGTGGGGCCTCCCCTTCATGGAAGGACGCCCGCACGATGAAAACCAACCGAGAGCGTCTCCCGTCTTCCTGCCGTGAAGAATCTGCCTCACTACCTCAGCCTGATCCAAGTTCCATTTGCTCGAGATTTTTGCAGAGTTTTAACAGGCACTGTGGTCTCCACGCTGTACTTGGTCTGGAACTTTCCTGAGAGCATCCCACCATCTCTGGAGGTCCTGTCACAGGCAGCAACAGCCCTTGCAGGATTGGAGTTTCCAGGGGCCTCTATCCACCTGTCTCTTTTGCTGACCCTTTAGCAGGGGCTCTAGGTCCAGTCCAAGGACCTGGGTGTCCAGCCATGCCCAGTGTCTTAGTCATCTAGTGCTGCTATAACAAATACCCCAAGTGGATGGCTTTAACAAAGAGAAGTTTATTTCTTCACAGTAAAGTAGGCTAAAAGTCCAAATTCAGGATGTCAGCTCCAGGGGAAGGCTTTCTCTCTCTGTCGGCCTTCTCATCCATGTTCCCCCGGACTAGGAGCTTCTCTGTGCAGGGACCCTGGGTCCAAAGGACACGCTCTGCTCCTGGCACTGCTTTCTTGGTGGTATGAGGTCCCCCTAACTCTCTGCTCCCTTCTCTCTTTTATATCTTAGGAGACTGCCTCAGGACACAATCCAATCTTGTAGACTGAGTCCTGCCTTACTAACACAAACTGCTGCCCATCCTCCCTCATTAACATCATAGACGCAGGATTTACAACATATAGGAAAATCACACAGTGCCAGGAATCATGGCCCAGCCAGATTGATACACACATTTTTGGGGGACAGAATTCAATCCATGACACCCAGGAACTCCATGTTTAAATATGTAATTTTGTCATAAACTGCCTGCCTTTTATCTCTCCTCCACATTACAGCAAGAACATGGCACTGATTTGTGAAATTGTGTGAGCAGCTCTCTGTTACCCGTGCATACCATCTGAGGAGAGAACCCCGGGTGGGGCCTGGCAGGCCGGCTGATGGGAGAGAAGAGGGAGGGGACAGGGCAGACTAACCCGTCAGCAAGGTACGCACTGGCTTACTTGTGTTAGCTACTAATCTGTAGTGAACGAGTTCACACGGGTTTCACCACATCTGGCATGGTGGTTAAAGGAGCCCGGTGGTGCAGCGGTTAAAGCAATCGACTGCTAACTGAAAGGTCAGCAGTTTGAAACCAATAGCAGCTCCGCTGGAGAAAGATGTAGCAGTCTGCTTCCATAGAGATTTACAGCTTTGGAAATCCTATGGGATCGTTATGAGTCGGAATTGACTCAACAGCAGTGGGTGGCACAGTGGTTAAGTGGTTAAGCGCTCAGCTGCTAACCAAAAGGTTGGCAGCTCGAACCCACTAACGGCTCCCGGGGAGAAAGCCGTGGCAGTCTGCTTCTGTAAGGATGATAACCGTGGAAACCCTCTGGGAGTCCTACTCTGTTCTGTAGGGTTGCTATGTTAGAATCAACCCCACAGCAATGCGTTTGGTTAATTGGTTTTGGTTTTAGTCTCCAGAACTGCAAAAGGACAGATTTGTTTAAACCACCCCGTTTGTGGTCACTTGTGAGGGCAGCTTAAGAGAGTAAGACAGAAGCTGAGAAGTGTGTGTGGTAGTCAGCACACACACACCTCAGAGCAGCAGGAGCTGTTTTGATCTTTTAACTTGCAGGTGTCATGCGCCACCAATAAGTAACCGTCGGTTTTATTTTCTGAGCGCTTTAAATCACCACAATACAGCTTCTCTTCAAAGGCGTAAGAAGGGCCCACACAGGACGAGCTCCTTAGCTAGACCACAACATGATGTTTACCTCCAGATCCTCCACCCAAAGCTTCCTTTCTCCTTGCCCCATCTCCCAGCAACCCCTGCAGCCCTCCCTCCCGAGAGTGACAAGAGGGGCCTGCAGTCCTGGCTTACCTCGGACGGTCCTCAGCCAGTCCACGTTCACAGCCGCCAGCTCCTCGGGGCTGGTGACAACTCTGCCCGGGAGGATGCGCTCAAAGGCAGCCAGGTCCTCCTCAGACGCCGCGGCAAAGGGCAGCCGCCGCACGGGGTAGCGCTCCTGGGTCAGCATCACCTCGGCTGGGCGTTTGGAAGCTGAGGAGCAGCCCCTGCAGGTGAGGGGGCTGGCTCCCGGGACCCACTGAGGGCCGCCCGGCCACCTCCTCTGCTCCAGTGTGGCCCCAGGAGCGCACGCGGTCCTCACCAGGGCGTGGGAATGGCCCTTCCGCCACCATCCTGGAGCAACGCTGAAGAGCCAGGCCGGCCACCTGGACAGAAGATGGGGTCCCATGGATCCGTCCTAAAAACAAGTGATCAGGAACTGTCACTCCAGAACGCGATACAGAGCCCGATCCACGGGAAAGCCAGCCCCAAGGTGTGCGCCGCTGCCGATCCCACTTCCACAGTTCAGAAAGAACGAGAAGCCAATCTGTGGGCGTGCAGGTGGGCCTGGGGGGGGTGGGCAGCAGGGCACAGGACTTGGGGTCTGGGAGGGGGTGCGGTCCTGGGGGGTGCGGGGTCCTGGAAAGGGCAGCGTCCTGGAGGGTGCAGGGTCCTGGGGGTTACGGGGCCCCGGGGGCCTGGGGGAACTCGGGGCTCTTGGGGGGGCGCTGGATCTTGGGGGACACCGGGTCCTGGAGGGGCCAGGGTCTTGGAAGGAGTGGGGTCTGGGGGGGTGCAGGATGCTGGGGAAGCTCGGGGCTCTGGGAGGAAGGCGCTGGCTCCTGGGGGACCCCGGGTTCTGGAGGCACGGGGTCCTGGGTAAGCTCGGAGACCTGCGGAAGTTCGCGGCCCTAAGGGGCGCGGGGTCCTGAGGGTGCTCAGGGCTCTGGGGGGCGCAGGGTCCTGGGAGGCGCGCAGGGTCCTGGGGTCTCGGGGCTCTAGGGGGCGCGAGGTCGTGGTGGGGCTCGGGGTCCTGGGGGCGACCGGCTCCGGGGAGGATCTGCTCTTGGTCCGCGTGGTTGCAGTACCCACGTCTGAGAGCGCCCTGTACACCTGTGACCGGTGCGTTCTCTCTGGGGTTACATTTTAACGTTCACAAACACCGCATCAACAACCCTGAGGATGGCGCAGGACCGGGTAATGTTTCGTTCCGTTGCACGGAGGGTCGCTATGGGCCGGAACCGACTCCACAGCACCTAACAACCACCACCCCTCCCTTCAGGACAAAGCTGGGATTTGAGGGCGGTCGGGAGAGGAAGCTCGCTGGGCGCCCACCGTGGGGACCTGGCCGCTCCGACGCCCCCTGGCACCCGCGGATCCTCCCGCCTCCGGCTCACAGCAGAGTCCGAGAAGGTGGGCGGCAGGGATGGGCTCGAGCCGCAGCCCCGCCGGGACCTCCCACGCCCCCCGGCCTCTGGG